ATGCCTCACCACATCAAGAGTCTTTGTTTAAGATGGTATCATTTTCAAGGTCTCAGCCTCCTTCCAATAGCAACATCAGACCATAATCACACCGTCATCATTGCGTATCAAGGCTACATGGAACACCATTAGCCTTTAAGGTCAGTGTACTGTGGTAATGTAGACTTAAATGAGATTGTACTGCTAATCTCATATCAAAAATTTCACTAGATGCATCACAAGAATTTAGGGAACTCCACAAATGTCATCACGCCACAAAACCCCGTGGTATTGTTTTCCACTGGCAGTACTGACAGATGAGACTCCAAACAAAAGCCTTTCTTCCCCTCCGATGCTCTCTGATTGTCATGGTCTCTTCTGTGCGCGTAGAAGGTGATAAGGATTACAATAGTATAATGATTTGGATCTTTAAAGAGGGCATATAAATCACACCTGTGGATTTCATAATTTGTCACTGCTGCCGAGGTATTTACTACATCTGGCATTAATTTAACGCTTACAACATAGAGGATCAATGTAACAGCCTTAGGTAACCAAATCAGGGTTGTAGTGTATTTCCTCTGGTGTCCCCCATAGGACTTTATTTTGCAAAAACATATGTGCAGTTGTCAATGATATGAGACAAATCTTTTTTTTATCTGGTTTGAATTGTGCCGTGAATTACACAAGTCAAGAAAGTCGCAGTTGCACATCAGCAGTTTTGCAACCAAGTGCAACTTTCTTGACTTGCAAAATTATTTTTAACATTGACAAATATCACGTGTCATTTATGGCACCATCAAACTGAATTAAAAAATGTCTCCATAGTGTCTAACCATAGAATTTTTTCAAAATAAAGCCCTATAGTGGTCCATTGAAAGGGGAGGGACTTAGCATCTCTGTGCCCTTATTAGAAACATCACTAGCAACAATTTTTGTTCACTAGTTTAACATTTAACAATCTCAGAATAGTTTTTGGATTATTTGCTTCACATTAAATGAGCAGAAATTCAATTGAATGAAAGAGATTAAAGAGCTTTTGTCAGTTACTTGCAGTCTTATAAGTAGCTTACTCTTTGAGCAGTAGCTTGCTAGCAAGCAAAACACTTTATCCATGTTAGCGGATTTAAGACAATGCTAACATTAAGCAGGTATTATGTTTACCATGTTAAACATCTTAGCATGTAAGCATTCTCAACATTTATTAACTAGAAGGGCACTTGAAGAGCTCAGACCTCTGCCAAGGCCCAATGCCCTACCTTGTAGTGTTAATGAAAGCCAAAAATACTTAACAAATCCGCCCTGTAAATTTGGATCCACACCAAAATTTAATGGGCTTTATCCACATGGCAACCTCTGGGGCTGAAAAATTAAGCCGGTGCAGAGGTGCCAAAAACTGCAGTTCCTTGAATGGCCACTTGAGGCTGGCTCCAAAAGCGAGTCGATCCCCAAAGACCTTTGTGTTAAAATGCCCAACATAACAGCAGAAATAAACATGTTTAGGTCTCTAACACTAACATTGTAAAACATTTATGACAACAATATAGGCGGAAAATTATTTTTTTTATATATAGCATTTAATTTTAGTTAAGGCTTTAAGTAACCCTGCTGAGAAACAGACAAACAACCTAAAAAATATCACATAACATAACATATCTTGGCAGAGGTAATCGAGTCCGATATCTCCTCATATTATGGCAATAGTTTTGTCATATAAGTGTAGTTTTATTCAGTAATAAGGCCTTCCACAGGTATTTGTCGAATATATATCTATATATATATCTCAGTCTAATTAATTAATTAAGATTAGATTTAGGGTATCATTAGTCAAGACACAGAGAGAGACTGTTCCACTGAAAACTTTCCATTCTGTCAATAACGTGGAGATGTTGATAAGAAAGTGGTTTCTCCACAGGCACACACAGAGCTGATAAGGCTCCCTGACAGAGTTTATGAGTCTACACACCATCAGAGTAAATGGTGCTCTTTTACTTCTGAACAGCTGTCTCAGGGTTGATTGATAGTGTGTGTTAAAAACTAGATTTCTGCATTTTCCTCAGCTCACAGATCTACCTGCTCTGACATTGGCATGGCGCCCAGATTCTGTTGTAGAGCAGGTCACACACATGTAGGAGCTACACTTAAGCAACAGGCATCTGAAGAACAGTTAAAATGTGATGATACAATTAGATAAAAGGTTTGCCTTTGAGATTTAATAGAATGTAAGGTACGCAGGAATGAGGTGAAATGCTTAACCTTCAACTCAGTCGTTCATGGATACACAAAAGCATGCAACTGATACTCTACTAAAATGTAACAGGGATAATCAAGGCAGGGTCGACTGGATCTAAGACTGGATTTAAGAGGTTTTTCATTAATCTTGATCTCTGGTCCTACAATAAGATTAGTCCATTGCCCTTAAGTCTTGACAAGACGAGCCACTCACAAATTGATACATGTGTGTTTTACAGCAATGATCTCACGCCATGCCACTTCATATATAGATGCTTTACTCTGCCACTCCTTTACTTTATGACCATTAAAACGTCACCTGAGGGTACATATGTCTTTCCCACCTTCCATCACTTCCTCATCTATCATCGTCGATTGCTTAATGTCTTATTTCACTCCCTGAATACAGATTTTTGAAGGTGGGTATGGGCGTGTGTGTGTACACATCAAGCTCATCATACTCATACAAGCTTCTTGTCACAGGGTGAAAGGAGCCTGTGGTTTTTCATTGCTAAATGAGTTTTGGTTACCAAGCGATAAAGACATTAGGTCACACAGGGCACAGAAAATAATCAGATCACGCCCAGGATCTGATATTAGTCTTGGTTTTCTTGCTATTTCCTTGTGCTTTTGAGATGACTTACTGGAGAAGACTGTTTGTGCAAGGCGTCCACCCTGCTGAGAAAGAGCTTTGAATGTAATCATTCAACGCATACAGATGAGGAGACGAGGTAAACGGGCTAAGCCATTATCAAAGACCTCCTAGTGTTTGTACCACTCCTCAAGCTGCCCTCTGGCTCCTCTGTTCCCCCCTGAACACAAAGTGAAGAGTGGGAGCAGGCTAAACGGGAACAGGAGTCACGACAGCACTCTGAACAAACAGAACGCAGCTCTTTCTTTTAAGACGGCCAAATGAAGCGGGTGGCACTTGTGACTGACACATCTTGGTGTTGTAAACAGCCGTCACTTGCGGTACTTCTTATCTGCTGAGTCACAGCTTTTGTCAACTCTTTACGCACTTGCTGTTAATGTTTATTCAAGACACAACCTCTGAGTACAGCTTTAACTCCTGTGATTTTTGGAATGTCCCATGAAGAGGTCTGAAAAGGTGTCATCTTGAAAACGAAAGCCAGACAGCAACTATATCTTACTTGATAATAATCATACCAGTGTACATGGCCTTATGTTCAGTGTTGGCATCAGTCTGTTTATAGACACATTTTGGTGAAATAAATATTATTACAGATACGTCACACTTAAACAAGCAGCTTCCTGTAAAAAGCACATGATCTAATTATATTCTGCACACTGAGTTAATATTCAGAGCTCCTATTTGCTGTGAATGTGAGCATGTGAATACAAGCGCATTGACATGGAAATATTTGTTAATTAATGCGTTATTTTCCCCCAGTAATTAGCATGAACAATTAAGCTGATAAACTGTGATGTGGATGCTATACAGCTCAGAGCTGCTTCTATTAATATTTGTATAATAACAATGAATCAAATGACTAAAGGTGTCGCTTGTAGTGATGAAACCACAGAGGATTACTGCAGTTTCTCTCAGCTCACCAGAGTATTTTAGCATCCTTTAGCTGATGGTTTTGGTTATATGGTCCTCAGCTTTATGTTTTGGTTCACTCTCACCACTCTCATTAGCGGCAGGCAGTGAGTAAGCTGTGTTATACTTGATTCTGATTGGCTGCAGGATGTCCATTAATTCCTGATATAGGACACCTACTAAGCGGTTTCTGGTGAAACTGTCTGCTCGCTGTTTTAAATGCATGTGCTGGCTGCATGATATTATCAGCTTGTATCTAATATGAGTAACCATAGCAACAGGGACACAATCAAAGCCTTTGTTTACAATTTATTTACAACACTAAGTGCAGTCCATCAGTGTTTTATTCTGTAAACAACACAGGAGGGCGACTGTAACAAACAAGCTGCAAGAAGTACACTGCCCCTCTGAACTTACTGATACTTTATATCACATAAGCGATTCAACACACTACTTCAGGCTTCAGTTGACAGTACACACAGCCTATCATTTGTTTCTGAGTGTCTTGATTTGATTTGGGGACATGTACATGGCTGTACAGCTAGCTAGTGTTGTTGTTAAACTTACTGTCAAAGTGTAGTTACTATTTTTCACCTGTACGCAGTGTAATTCACTTTGAATTGTACTAGCGTAATGTTAGCTTTCTGGCTCAGTTATGAGTCTTATTTACTGGAGTAGTGACCATTGTTTCCATTATGATTTTTCTAGGTGTCAGTCAAAACCTCAGGTTTTACCACAGAAACTGAATAATAGCTCATGAAAAACTTTAGATTTTGATTGTAAAAAGCATGAACATATAAATACGATATGATATGATCCGATGTGATCCGATATAATGCGATGTGATACGGTACAATATACCTTATTGTCCCCGTAGGGAAATGTGTCTTGGACTCCGGAGCTGCCCAAGTATTGCTGCCATACAAATAGATAATCTATTTTTTTTTACTTTGGCAAGTGACCATGCTACAAGCATGATGATGAGGTGTACATAATTAGGAATTGTTAGATTCAGCACAGGCAGCTGTTCTGGTCCCCCTGTCACCCATTAATTCCTGATAATAGACACCTCGTTCGACATTATCCCCTTACAAAGATTCGGTATGTTACCTACCCAGGTGAATAATGGAATTGCCGTTATTTGTTGGACACAAACATGACTTCAGTAATGGTAGTATTGCTGTGTATCACACATTGATTATTTTTCTTGCTTTTGTTTTGACTGTAGGAATGACTACAACGGTTCCCCTAACACAAAATGTCACCACAACTCCTGCTGTAACTGCGAGCTCAAATTCAAGCAGCAGCTACTCAACCAGCAGTTTACCAACTTCAACTCCATCAGTCATCAGCACTTTTACTGAGCACAATAATGTCACCACCAGCAGCCCAACTGACTCTCCATCAGCTCCAACCACAGGTTCACTGCTGTCCACTGCAAGCCCAGAGACAAGCCAACCCAACACCACCAGTGAGAATACGAGTGCAACAACACCTGCTCTAGATAACACTCCACCAATCACACACACCAGCAGCGACATAACTACAAGTGCACGCATCACACACACCAGCAACGAGACAACTACAAGTGCACTGGTCACACACACCAACAACGAGACAATTACGAGTGCACCGATAACACACACCATCAACGAGACCACTACAAGTGCACCAATTACACACACCGTCAACGAGACCACTATGAATACACCGATCACACACACCAGCAACGAGACAACTACAAGTGCACCGATCACACACACCGTCAACGAGACAACTACAAGTGCACCAGTTACACACACCGTCAACGAGACAACTACAAGTGCACCGATCACACACACCGTCAACGAGACAACTACAAGTGCACCAATTACACACACCGTCAACGAGACAACTACAAGTGCACCAATTACACACACCATCAACGAGACAACTACAAGTACATCGATCACACACACCAGCAACGAGACCACTACAAGTGCACCGATCACACACACCGTCAATGAGACCACTACAAGTGCGCTGATAACACACACTAGTAACGAGACAACTACGAGTGCACCAATCACACACACCAGCAACACGACAACTACGAGTGAACCGATCACACACACCAACAACGAGACCACTACGAGTGCGCTGATAACACACACCGTCAACGAGACCACTACGAGTGCACCGATGACACACACCAGCAACAAGACAACTACGAGTGCACCGATTACAGACACCGTCAACAAGACAACAACAAGTGCACCAATCACACACACTGTCAACGAGACAACTACAAGTGCACCGATCACACACACCAACAATGAGACCACTACAAGTGTACCAATCACACACACTAGTAATGAGACAACTACGAGCTCACCGGTCACACACACTAGTAACGAGACAACTACGAGTGCACCAATCACACACACCAACAACGAGACAACTACAAGTGCACCAATCACACACACCGTCAGTGAGACAACTACAAGTGCACCAATCACACACACCATCAACGAGACCACTACGAGTGCACCGATCACACACACCAGCAACATGACGACTACGAGTGCACCGATCACACACACCAATGAGACCACTACAAGTGCACCAATTACACACACCGTCAACGAGACAACTACAAGTGCACCGATCACACACACCAACAACGAGACCACAACAAGTGCACCGATCACACACACCATCAACGAGACCACTACAAGTGCACCAATCACACACACCGTCAACGAGACAACTACAAGTGCACCGATCACACACACCGTCAATGAGACAACTACGAGTGCACCAATTACACACACCGTCAACGAGACAACTACAAGTGCACCGATCACAAACACAGTCAACGAGACCACTACAAGTGCACCGATCACACACACCGGCAACACGACAACTACGAGTGCACCAATTACACACACCGTCAACGAGACAACTACAAATGCACCAATCACACACACCGTCAACGAGACCACTACAAGTGCACCGATCACACACACCGGCAACACGACAACTACGAGTGCACCGATCACACACACCAACAACGAGACCACTACAAGTGCACCAATTACACACACCATCAACGAGACAACTACAAGTGCACCGATCACACACACCGTCAACGAGACCACTACAAGTGCACCGATCACACACACCGGCAACACGACAACTACGAGTGCACCAATCACACACACCGACAACGAGACCACTACAAGTGCACCAATTACACACACCATCAACGAGACAACTACAAGTGCACCGATCACACACACCGTCAATGAGACAACTACAAGTGCACCAATTACACACACCTTCAACGAGACAACTACAAGTGCACCGATCACACACACCGTCAACGAGACAACTACAAGTGCACCGATCACACACACCGTCAACGAGACCACTACGAGTGCACCGATCACACACACCAACAACGAGACCACTACAAGTGCATCGATCACAAACACCGTCAATGAGACCACTAGAAGTGCACCAATTACACACACCGTCAACGAGACAACTACAAGTGCACCGATCACAAACACCGTCAATGAGACAACTACAAGTGCACCAATTACACACACCGTCAACGAGACAACTACAAGTGCACCAATCACACACACCAACAACGAGACAACTACAAGTGCACCGATCACAAACACCGTCAACGAGACAACTACAAGTGCACCAATCACACACACCAACAACGAGACAACTACAAGTGCACCGATCACAAACACCGTCAATGAGACCACTACAAGTGCACCAATTACACACACCTTCAACGAGACCACTACAAGTGCACCGATCACAAACACCGTCAATGAGACAACTGCAAGTGCACCAATTACACACACCATCAACGAGACAACTACAAGTGCACCAATCACACACACCAACAACGAGACAACTACAAGTGCACCGATCACAAACACCGTCAACGAGACAACTACAAGTGCACCAATTACACACACCAACAACGAGACAACTACAAGTGCACCGATCACAAACACCGTCAATGAGACCACTACAAGTGCACCAATTACACACACCTTCAACGAGACCACTACAAGTGCACCGATCACAAACACCGTCAATGAGACAACTGCAAGTGCACCAATTACACACACCATCAACGAGACAACTACAAGTGCACCAATCACACACACCAACAACGAGACAACTACAAGTGCACCGATCACAAACACCGTCAACGAGACAACTACAAGTGCACCAATTACACACACCAACAACGAGACAACTACAAGTGCACCGATCACAAACACCGTCAATGAGACAACTACAAGTGCACCAATCACACACACCAACAACGAGACAACTACAAGTGCACCGATCACAAACACCGTCAACGAGACAACTACAAGTGCACCAATTACACACACCAACAACGAGACAACTACAAGTGCACCAATCACAAACACCGTCAATGAGACAACTACAAGTGCACCAATCACACACACCATCAACGAGACCATCACAACAATAACCACTTCAGCTGTTCTAACTACAACTACACTAACAAACTCTACTAACCCCTCTCCTGAGACTCCTGCATCCACCACCACACCCCTATCCTCCGCTGTCACCACACACACAACACTCACAGCTGGAACCCCTTCCTCTTCACCTACCTCCATCTCCACCTCCAGTTCACTCCCTACAAATACCTCCCCAGGCAGTAGCACCGCACCCCCCACTGGAAATACCACCACCCCTAGTCCCTCAACAACCACCTCAGGAGGTAGGACTAACAGCATGATGAGTGTTGATGTTTGTTCATACAGATTAATGTACTATAACATGCAGGTGAGTAGGAATCTAGTGAGGACCATGCTGCATCAAGCCATTTTACAAGTGGGATGATAGATGCAGTCTTTTGGAGTAAGTCTCCGAATCTTTGAACCTTTGAACCTTTGCAGTCAATACTAACATTAGCATACTAACAATTTCACAATGACAGTGCAAACAGGGTGATGCTTAGAAGGTGTGCTTACATTTGCTGACTAGCTCTATTAGACACTGATGTTGGCATTGTTTCTATTTCAACGTCATTGGACTGATCTATATATATATATGTATATGTATATATATTTATGTTACAGTTACTGGCCACACCACTTTGACTCATTCAACTGAAACAGCTAATGGCACTACAACAGCCTCATCCACCACCACACCAACCTCCGCCACTACTATCTCTACTGGTACCACCATCACTGGAACCACCCTGCGACCAACAGACATCACCACCAAAAATGCTACCACCACTCCAGCCCCCAACACCACCATCACAACTGGCACTACCATTACTACTGGTACAACCCTACGACCAACAGACGTCACTACCAAAAATACTACCACCACTCCAGCCCCCATCACCACCATCACTACAGGTACCACCATCACTGGTACCACCCTGCGACCAACAGACATCACCACCAAAAATGCTACCACCACCACTTCAGCCCCCAACACCACCATCACTACTGGTACCACCATACGACCAACAGATATCAGTACCAAAAATACTACCACCACTCCAGCCCCCATCATCACCACCACCATTACTACTGGTACCACTGTCACTACTGGTACGACCCTGCGACCAACAGACATCACCACCAACTCCACCACAGCAGCCCCACCCATCCCTCCACCCATAGGTTTGTATCATTCAAAGGTTCAAGTTTCAGATGCATGGTGTCATCTACTGACTAGAAAAATTTAACAGATTTCCTGAGTGGAATTAAATCCTGCATACACAAGGTCCTGCATGTTTTTTGTGCTAAAATGGTTTACAATCAGAGTTGGGTATAATGCGTTACAAAGTAACGTTAGAGTACTTTGATTAGTATTTGCAGTAACGAGTAACCTAATGCGTTAGTTTGCTGTTTGAGTAATCAAATACTTAAGTACATTTTCAAACAAGACATCAGTTACTTCCGTTACTTTTAGAACTCTGGTCCTTCAGCTCCGAAACAGCAACGGCTGTCGTTTAGTTCTAATAACGGAGATAATGTTAAACCTATCAGTCTGAAAGAAGCCACGGAGCTTGTGGCTCGCTACGTGGTCGGAGAAATGCTGCCATTGTCTACGGTGGAGTCTAAATAGGTGGAGTAGGACTTGCTGACAGACATATTTCAGACTCAGGACTTGCATTATGCCTGGTACACGCTACACGCTGGTACTCACCAATTATCCCCGGCCATCTTTCACGGTGTGTGTGATGTCATCGGATTATTTTTGTCCTATTTTTTATCACTTTTACTATTATTTGATAGCCTGAGTGTCAGACTGAAGCTCTCAGAACCTTCAGTCTGACATCGCCTCCATTGAAGGCGATTTACAAGGGGGAGGGAATTTGATTTTTCCCTAACCAATCAGTAGAGATCAACGTCTCACCCAGAATCTGACATCATTAGTATCCATGCTTCGGGGTTGCCGAAAACAAGCGAGCATTGCCCGTTTAAAATGTCTCCGTCGTCGTGCACGCCAGCTGCATTGCTGTTAAATCCAGTTTAGCAGCTTCCTTAATTTGGTCCTCCATTAACGTGAGTAGTGGCGAAATACCTCAATAACATTGTTAATGTGGTCTGTAGGATCTGTAGCGGTCGCCATTAGCGTGGCGCTGATTGGCTAATCGCTAGACCCGCCCCCACCCCCGGCGTTCATTGGTCCGTCCATCATTTGGACGAGATAAATTGCAAATTCATTGCAGTATGCCAGACCAGAGATGCAAGCCTACTCAGTTGAGTGGGCGGGGTCTATGGTCTGGAACCAGGCTAATTATTTGAGTCACTGTGTCTGTTCATTTGCCAGCCGACATGTTGTTGTAGTCACCTAAAAGCGTCAGCAGATGGCAGGAGCTACATTTGAAGTGCCATTCGTAAACTATCAAGCTACTGTATCTTCCACAGGAAGTTCTGACAAATGTTTCAGAATAAAAGCCTATTTAGAAAATGGAGGGATTCTCTCAGCCGAGGTTACAAAGGGCTTTTAATTTGAAAGTGTTGAGTTTGAAATGACGGTGCGATATGTTAACTTTATAAAGACAACAGAGCGGATAAAAAGTAAATATATAAAGATACAGAGGGATTAATAAATAACGGACCGTCTATAATGTAGTTTGTTTCAAATGAAGCTGGGAGCCTCTGCAGTTGTGGTGAGTAATATGTCCAAGTGAGTATGTCCGACCGTGAGGATGTACCATTGTTTGCTAGCTTGATGCTAATGACAGTAACGTTAACTCAGCGGGTTGACAAAGTGCCTCTGCTGTTTCACACCATCATTTCCCCCTTTTACTCTGTGTGGTAACATCCCTAGAGGAAATACTAAAAATGCTGGGGTGTTGTTGTCATACAGTTGTCTACGGCAGCAGGTCGTTCTGTGTTACTACTGGTCAAAGTGACAGCTGTGATGGGAGAGCTGGATCTCAGTGAAGGGCAAGTGGTCCATAATTTTAATTTTGGAGACAAAAAAATGTAGACTTAGCGCCCTGTGGTCCATTGCCCAATAGAAAATGTAGAATACTCAAAAGTACTTTAAAAGTGCTTGAGTTACTTTTCTCAGGGAGTAACGTTGGAAGTACTTATAAAGTAATTGAGTTACATAACTAAGGGAGTAAAGCAGTAAAGTAACTGGTTACTTTTTTAAAAAGTAACGCAGTAATGTACTTTGATTACTTTTAAAGTAACCCTTACCCAACACTGTTTACAATACAAAAAAAGGGGTGATTTGTTTGTACCTGCTTAGCACCAAAGGGCAGACTGACATAGTTAGCAACTGGCTGGTGAACACAGTGGAGCATTTAGGAGCTAAATGGCAACATAATTCCCTCAGGAGTTGGTAGTGACCAAAAACAGAGCATAAAGGAAGGTATATATTGGACTTACATTAATCAGCTGGTTGGAGCATGGCTTGAAAGGAATGATAATTGTTTGTTGGCAAGTTTGCTATATCAACTCAAAAGGTGATGCTGTCAATGCTTTGTTCTCAACTTGTTACCACTCCCCCCAAGTGGCAAAAACAGTTATTACAGGTCGGACATAAATTGTTCAATATGAGATAAAAGAAAATCAGATGGCAAGTTGTTTAATGCATCCATTTTTTTCGATCTCTCATCAGTGTGCCCTGCCATCCCATGCCCTCTTGAAAGCGTCTGTCTTAACGGTACTTGCCAATGTATCACTGGTAGCTTTCTGGTGGATGGCCAATGTGAACGCGGTAAGATCATAACATGTCATGTCTTGTCAGATGACAAATTCCCATAAGAGAGGTCAAAACAGGGTGATGGCCTTGAAACTTATCATTTCCTCTCCTCCTCTTAACATAGCCCAAGTGTTCCCCGGCCAGCTTCATATCACCTCCTTGGAATTTGAAAAAGAAATGAGCGACAGGTCCTCAGAAATATTCCGGAAGACAGCAGCGGAGATCTCAGCAGCGGTAGGTTGTGAGCTGAAGAAGCATTTTGGATTTCAATAATCAATGCACCTGTCTCTCAGTCCTTAAATGACATGTGTATTCTGTTTCATAGCTCAGAGATGCCCTCAAGAATGAGCCGGGGTATAAACAATCTGATGTTGTGCAACTTCAGTGAGTATTTTTTTTTATTTCTCCTACTGCTGGAAGATAGTATGCCATAGGTTAAAACATTTTTTAACCATTTTTGGTGCTTCTCTATAATTCTCTAGACCAGGAAGTGTCCAAGCAACTGTAAATAACATCTTTGAAAACACCAGCTCCACCCAAGAGTCTGTCGATCAGGCCATTAATAAGGCTATAGCCACCTCAACAAATGAACTGTTTGCTAATGCTACGTTTACAAGTAAGTACTGCTAGTACACAGATTGATCTTGGAGGAGAACCTGACATGCATGAGCTACAACTATATTATTTTAAGAAGAGGGGTTTTCTCATACACCTGTTTTACTTCTCATCTGTCGTAGGTACAAACCTGTGTGCACAGGAGCCATTTCCCTGTGATGTCTCCACCACAATGTGCACAGATATAAAAGGCCGGGCTGTGTGTTCCTGCAAAGAGGGCTACATCTCCATCCTGTACTCAAACACCAGCTGCAAAGGTATAAGCGACAATATTCTTTATTTGTCTCCCTTATTAAGACAGATTTTAACAAGCAGACTAGGATATATCTAGTATTTATGTTGTCTTTTATGTTAAAAATTGTGTACAATGTCCTGCTACTATAGCACCATAAATCATAAAGCCTCATGTGCACACTTCATGAACTGACAAACCACAGCTTCTGAGACAAGCTCAAGTGAAGTTGCCCAGCTGACCTACAGTTAAGAAAACTGTAACAAAACCTTCTTATCCTCAGTGAAATACTTGTGCGTGAGAATGAGGGGGAGAAACAACAGGGAGCGAGACTCACAGACAAGGTCAAGAGCTGTAGCCTTTTCTCCACGCTGACCCTTGACTCTCACTTCATTTATCTCTCGAATTTATTTCTTTTTAACAAGGGTTGTTTCCCTGGAAACATGTGAAAGCATCACAGCTCTGTCTCTCTCTGCGCCGCTATAGGAAGAGCAAATACAGAATAAGACTTTTGGACAAATGCTGCATACAATTCCTCTCTCAGGAAATACATAATGTGAAACTATGGGCTTGTTTGTTATGGTCATCGTGCAGCCTCTGTATAAAGAGGCTCTCATTGTGCTCATGTTTTCTTTGTGTGTGCAACCAGGCGGACCGTGCATCTCCGTCTACCGTGACTGAGTCTGAAACTGTAGCTTGTTATGTTTGTGTCTCTCTGTACTCAACATTGTGTGTTTCTCTTTGTAGCATGTCCAAGCGGGCAGAGGGCAGTGGGGGACACGTGTCAACCGTGAGTACACACTTTGAATTTTGTTTATAGGTGAAGTTTTTCATGTGGAGGTGTGTGGTGTCTGTTTATCACTGTGTGTGTGTGGTACATGTTAATGTGTAGGTAGCTCCCCCTTGTGGATTCAGTGTTAAATTCCATTAATGTGTTACATTACAGCCCTGATATACAAATATTATTGTGTTTAAATGGTCTTTGCTTTTTTTTTCCCCAGATGTGCGTTTGGATATGCTGGCTTCAACTGCAATGACTGTGAGTAATGACACTGTTTTCAAAGGCAAAAATGCAGCAGCAGCAGCAGCAGCAGCAGCAGCAGTAGGAACAGTTACGGGCTGCTGACCCATAAAAATCTAAATGTGTCTTCATGTGTGTGTTTACAGCGGCTCTGCTGGCAGTTGTGGTCATCTCCTGTGTACTCGGAGGAATTCTTCTGATCATTGTCCTGGCTTTGCTCATATACTGCTGCTGGTGAGAATATAAAGAAAAAGAAAATGGCTATGTTTTTTCTGCTACAGACATAAAATTAGTTTAAAATTTTAGTTGAAAAGTGATTTTTTGAAGTAAAATATTCAGTATTGTTTTAATGTTTTATTTCAGTGTGTTGTCCAGACTAGTCTTACACTGAAAAACAACTTTAATCACTCATTCTTTTAAAGGGTGATTTTTTTTTTTTTTTTTAACTGAGACCCTGTTTTTCCATGTTTTTGTGTCTAAGTGATTTATGTTAGCAGCCTTTTTTGAAATTGGTCCAGTATGGAGGAGACCCCTGCAGCCAGCAGCGGCTTAGATCATTACTCAAAGTGTCTGAGAACATTATAGAAATGTCCCTTCATACAGAGACCATTTTGTTAAAGAATAAGATCATTTTTTGTAACCAGAAACGACCCTGAAATCGCCATTGCCAAACCCACCAGCCTCCATTTAAATAAACATGTCATTTTAGCATGTATAGAGCCAGCATTCCTTCACATTTAATCGGGTGAATTAAGGGTTTATTTCAACCAAACCAGAGTTGGTGATTGTTGGAACAGTGGAAAGACAAACCAAGAAGGCTTTTGTGAGGTTTATTTTGTGTCTTTTGACTTTAAGTGACGTTTATTTTACAATAATGAAATTAATATTTATTTGAATGGATTTTGTAACAGTGATTTTGGGCTCTCTCTGCTTAAACAAAAAGGTCCATCTCAGTCGGGATCCTTTTTATAATATTCCCAGACTCTCACAATAAAAAGCTGAGCCTGTCAATGGCAAAAACAAGAGCTTTAGTGGATGTAAATTGTTGGTGCACTCATGCCCCAGGTGGTTACATTGCAGCCTGTTTCGCCACTGCCGGCTGCAGCAGTCACCTCAATACTGGGCCAATTAAAAAATTGTTCCTATGAGACTCTTACACACAGAAACATAGGAAGATAGGGGTCCAGGTGAAAAAAATACCCAAGATACCCTTTAAAGAGGTTGTTACATGTAACCCAGAGGTCTAAAAATCTCAACCATGTTCAACCCAGTGTTTCAGTCTTTTAACATGCACTCTGACAAATTAATACTTAATAAGGTTAGAGGAAAATGATGGCAGTGTTCAATACTCTGAAATGACCAAAAACCAACAATGACTTTCTGTTAAAGATTCATGATTCCTAAAACAGCTGAGCATTGTAGGTTTTAGCAAATATTACTCAAACAGGTGTTAATAAGAAATGAGTCAGGGCCTAATTTCAGCTGTGGACTAACACATATTTGGTGTTTTAGTGAGTATTTATGACAACAGGATGGTGTATGAGTGATTGGCTAAAGTTTTGGACACCACTGGAGCTCTCTGAAATAAACAAAAACAAACATTTTCAGGCACATTTACTTACTTTTGTCTGCACATTAGGAGGGGATGCTCAAGGAGCAAGGCAGACTACAGCAGCAGTCCGTACTCATCAAGTGACGTGAGCCAGCCCTGGCCCACTGGCATCACCCCCATCCCCCGCGCCACAACTAACTTTGATGCAGCTACTCCCATAGAGATGACAGAAGGGGGCAGCACTCATGTCCTGGTGGACAAAAAGCATCAAACCAATGGCTCGGTGAGTTACCGCACATTCTGCCGTCGTCTCTGTTGTCTGAACTACTCACCACTAATCCTCACACTCACAGTTTTGCATAGCGTTGATCATCCACCTATCAGCCTTCACCCTTTTAACACATCCAGCAAGCATGGATTTTGATCAGTTAAAAGTACATCTAAGTGTAGGTTAAAATCTGGCTAAATTAGTTTGAAAAGTGAAAGCTTTTTGCATATATAGGCTCCATATCACTGTTATTTGAACACCATTTTAGTGCTAGAGCTATACACTGAAACACAGTCTTTTAAAGGCTTTTCTACCAAATTTAGCTTAGTTATAACCCTTGACACCTGGATGTTTTTTAACCTGCAAATCGACAAATCCATGCTAACTGGGCACATGGTCACCGAGTATCATGTCACAGACTCATTAAATGATTTGGTGATATGTTTTAAAACATATGCACGCCAGTATCTTTTTGCCAATAATCCAGATTGTATATATATATATAGTGTTAGCACATAGGTCCCTCCCACGCTCCCTGCTTTGCCTGACTCCCAGTATGTTGCTTTAGGGGTTTCAGCAGAAGCAGAAAGGATGGAAAAAGGTAAGGCATGGCTTTGCTTTCAGATTCTGATTTGCCTCGGTGCCCCCTGCTGATGATTTAGACAGGCCACAGGGGGAATTAAGGTGGCAGGATTTCCAGGGTGATTGATGGGAAGCTTCGTGAGAAATCTCTGATTGATGTGTAAAACCGTGTGCTTTTATCTATATGTCAATGTAGTGAGTGACAATTCAAAGAAGCTGTGCTGATGGTAGTTTGGGGAGTAGTCATTTTCACTGCACATTGGTGACTGTGGTTACTTGTGCATGTTTGCTTGGCTTTTGTAAAGTGTCCGTGTATGAATGTTTGAAGTCTCTACATCTGAAAGGCACTAACACGCTCACTGTTTCCACTGACATTTCAGTCGGGATCATACGATCTCAACCCAGAAGGAATGAACACCTTCAAAGGTAAAAATCCATCCCGTTACTCCTATCTGGTCCAAGGCCACAAGAACCCCTACTTCTTACCAGGAGACGACAGGAACTGAACTCACCCATGTAGAAATGAAGAGCATGGTATCAAAAAGAAGCCACACACATTAGAAACTCTGGGTCTACAGGCACACTTCCTGAGCAGGACCAGGTTATTTATACTTTTTTGAACTGGCTTAGATTAAAGACAAATAACAAAGGACTTTTTTTTTATCTGGGAAACAGCCACCAAAGAGATTCACTCATACGAGCAAGAACATTTAACCATTTTTTTTAAGTGAGATTGTGTCTGTAAATGTTGCTGATCATAACCAGTAGATGTCCCTGTTGCTCAGTGTAATTCTTCTATTGTCTTACAAGATACTTCTGACTTTTTTAAATTCTTTTAAGAAATCATCCCGTAGTCTTTTTAAAATTAAGCTTCTTATGTTGCTAATTGCACTAAAGTGTGTGTTAAGTTTACCTCCAGTTTTCCTCTGAAACCAAAGGTAAACTGAATGTGGGCTTTCAGGGGCTAATAGATATTTTTCTTATGGGTATAATTATTTTTTAGAAGAACAAATCTTGTATGACTAAAGGGGCTGGATCCCTGGTTGGGATATTTTCTAAAGGGATTTATATCGTAGCTGAGAGCTGTGTATGTGTCGACGCTGCGCTTGCAGAATGTGCCTGTTTAATCGTCTGTTTGACAAACAGGAAACATGTAAAGCTGGTGATAAAGCCTGTCTCCTGGATGTGCCAATTATCACTTGTATACATTTCTTTTTTTGAAAACTCTTATATATATTTATCCTCATGTGTCTGAGACAGTGCACTATTTTATGTGTGTAAAGTTTTTGTAAATAATTGAAGATCTTTTGGCAGAGCATGTGTGTGTGTGTATATATATATATGCAATGGAAATAAATTAATTTAAATACAACAGTCTTGCTTTTTAATCATTGCTGGATGTAAAAGTACTTAAATGGCTTCAGTGCTCCATAATCTGTTTAGAGTAAGAAGGTACTCTTCTCATATTCATATCTGAATAGATTATCTTCTTAACCATTATGTTGTGTTTGAGGACCTGGAAACCAAAGGCTGTCTTTAAACATCCATAGCAGTGTTGGTATGCCTCTGCATTGGCGATAGCCGTTGCAGGAAGCATTATGTTTTCGGTTTGTCTGTCCATATGTCCGTACATCTGTTTGTATGACCGTCCCATTCTCATGAACGCAACACTATATCTCAAGAACACCCTGAGGGAATTTATTCAAATTTGGCACTAACGTTCACTTGGACGATGAACTGATTAGATTTTGGTGGTCAAAGGTCAAGGTCTTTATTTATTACTTTATTACTTTATTTGTATAGCACCTTTAGTGCTTTATAGCCTTGACCTTTCATCCGTCTCATTTTTGAGGACACGATATCTCAAGAACACTGTCAGGGAATTTCTTCAAATTTGACACAAACGTCCACTTGGACTGAAGGATAAACTGATTAGAACTGGTGGTCAGAGGTCAAAGATCAAGTTTGTTTTGAACTCACAAAACATGTTTTTGGCCATAATTTAAGAATTCTTATTCTGACAAAACTTCACACAAATGTCTAATAGGATATAATGATGAAGTGGTGACATTTTATATCCAAAAGATCAAAGGTCAGCTTCACTGTGACATCATAATGTTCTACATAAAACACTTTTCTGGCCATTACTCAACCTCATTTCTAAGGAACAAAAGAGGAGACATTTGGTCAGATACTGAATTGGTGACACTAATCTTGGATGCCTACCTTGAAACTGTGCTGAGTGTGTAGATCTTTCGTGCTGCCGGGGGAAGATGTGTGTAAATTGAAAGAGAAACTTGACTGGTACATAGAGGCATACAATTCTAGTATCATCTTGAAATAACTTTTCAATAGAATATCTGGTAAACATTATTTTGAAAACATATATACTCCAAACTGTATGTGTGATTGATATTGACAGGACTTTTTTTTACACAGCCCTGCCTCTACCAAATCCCAAATTTGTCTGTTTGGATTTCTGTTATTAGCCTTTTTTAATTGTTTGCTGTTAAGGTCTAACTGGGAGTTCGACCTTTCTGCTGTTTACTTGAGCTCAAACATGAGTAATGTCACTATGTAGGTTAACATACTGTAGTTTTTTTGGTCTGTGAATTACTTTTTGGCCAACAAAATAAAAATATTTGCTTCTGTAAAGTCCATATAACAAATATGACATGATATATTTTCTTATTTGGAGTATGGTCATGTCTGTATTCTGTCACATTCATCAAATCAAATGTACAAGCCCACTTTTCTACATTTTGGGTTTTAATGAGGTCAGAAGAAAAAAAAAACTTACCAGGAAACAACTACTGCAATTATTATTAATACTTATACACATATAGCAGTGGGGTCTCTGGGACAATGCTAATGCTTATGTCAATAAATCAAAAGTAAGTTCTGGAGTTTTAAGTCTAAGTTTAAGCAAGTTTGTGGAGTAAGTGTGATACACATCACTCCACTGATCAACAGGAGGCAGTAACACGCCAGGACATGCCAGTAAAGACAGAGGAAGAAGAGCACAAACTAGGAACTGCAAGGTAAGGTAGAAAAACAGAGGTGTGTTTTATTAATGTCTTTAGGATTGAGGACATATTTCAATTATTTTTTTGTGTCTCTTAATGCTGTTTTCTTCATATGTTTATATAGGCCTGTCTACCAAAACTAATGAAACAGTGGCAGCTCTCAGATTGAGTAGCCTGTGTCTGAGAATTTGCATTTGCAAAGTTCAACATTTGTTTACAAGAGCCAAACAAGGATTTGCAAACATCACCACTTTCATTTAAACTGAATGATGTATAAGTGTTGGTGCAGTTCATTTACATATCATGGCAGCATTAGGACCTAAATAAATGACAACATGATTCACAGTGTTAATGAGATTATTCTTAGAGGTGGGATTTATGTTGACTGTGCAGTTTACCCAGAAATGCTCTATCTCCCTGCCTGGCCTGCTGTGCTGCACTTTGTCACCGTGAGTGACGAGGTGTTTGAAGGCCTCAGAAGTTTTATGTTGCTGTTTGTGGAAGACTTGGTTGGCAGTGTGTTGGCATTACAGTCCAAGAGTCTGCTCCTCACAGGCTCGGAAAAGCTGGGATTTGGTTTGCTGGGAGGCTAAATCTGGCTTTGCCAGGCCTTAATCTTGGGCACTGGGTCACTGGAACACACTGTGACTGGCATACAGGGCTACACATCACATGCACATTGTGTGTTTGTTTGTGTTTGCATGTATGGAGTAAGTGTGTGTGCATGTGGTTATGTACCATCCTGATCTGTAGATTAATATCAATGCAGCTGCAAGGCTGGATTTTAACACTCACGTGTGTGTGAGTAAAATAACATAAATTAAGCAGATTTTGCTTATGTGCATTCAGGAAATCTGGCTCAAGTTGCAATATTTGTGTGGTCTATTTAACCCTCCTGCAGTCATGAAACTGGAGGAGTTTAGGCGTTGTGATTGAAAACTGTCACCAATCGCCAGTGTTTTTGTGAATAAATTACTTTTTCATGCAAAGATTTGCCACAGATTTGCCATCTGTCATTGTGTAATTTTGTCCTGCAGCTGCTGTCTTTGTTGGTTGAATAATTATAAAGATAAATGTCCTTTAAAGGGACAGTTAACCCCAAAATCAAAATAATTTTCTCTGTCACCTGTTGTGCCATTTATTGATCTAGATGGTACTCAGCTTGTGGTGCTTCAATCACAAATAAATAAATAAAACATTTGAAAAACTAAACATCAATGTCTCTTTCCAGAAATCATGACCCAGTTACTCAAGATAATCCACAGACTGTGTTGTGAGCAATTTAATGTAGGAACTATTTTCTTTCTACTGAACTATGCTCCGAACAGCATCACGACACAGGAGGAAGTGTGCATCTACTCATGAACGAGAGGCCTGTGACAGCACGAGATGTAGACATTCCTTGACCGTGCTGTAACACCAGCTAGCTCGTTGGTGCTAGGTGAGCTAGCAGTAGATTCACACTTACTTCAGTGTGGTGATGTAGTTTGAAGAAACTGCTCACAACAAGGTCTGTTGATTATCTTGAGTAACTGGGTCATGATTTCTGGAAAGAGACATTGCTGTTGAGTTTTTCAAATATTTTTTTTAGGGCTTTGAGCACCACAAGCTGAGTGCCATCTAGTTCCATTATATTCAAGAGAAAGCAGACATCTCTACAGCCGATATCTCCAACACTCAGCAACTCACACCAAAGCAATCCAGACTGATAAACAGCACAACAGGTAAGAGGAAAATTATGTATTTATGATTTTGGGGTGAACTATCCCTTTAAGTTGACCTAAATATAATTCACCTGTTAATTCAATCAATTTTATTGCATTATCACATTAACAAGAATAACAAGAGTAACGTATTTTGAACACAAAATGTTTTTATAACGCTTATGGATTCTCCTGGCTTGATAACCTTCTGTTATTAGCAGCAGTTGAGATTGCTGGATATTGATGCTTTTTGTCAAAAGTTCTGGGACAGAAGCTCACTTCACACAAACATGGATTCATGGAGTAGCTGAACATTTTAATGATATCATAGATAAAACTACATTGTATCATTTAATGCTGTAGGATGATAGAAGTGTTCATTAAATATGTCTAGCTGTGCAAAAATTGCTTGAAGTGTGAGAGAAATAAATTATGAAAAGCTTTTATCTTTTGTTACATTTCCTCTACCATTAGTGGACCTCAGGGAAACTGGCAAAAAAACAAAAACCATAAAACTGGTGGTCAAGATAAAACAGAGCAGTATTTCCAAATTTCAAGACAGCCGTTAAATTTAAATGTATAAACTGTGTGAGGAACCAGAACCCCCCATTAACTTGAATTATACTGTACACTTGATTTCCTTCTCTGTCTGTAATGGACTCCTCTCTGTGTCGGCCAAGGCAGCGGTTCTCAGCTGTGGAGGAATGCATCGTATTTTGTTCCCATTACCAGCCTGCCAACTCCTGGCTCTGTCTGCTGCAGCACATCCCATCAGCCCACAGGCTCAGCTGACCGATCAATAGACCACTTAGCGGCCGTGAGCTACACATCCTCAGTCATTTGACCCGCTGGAGCTGTGGGAACGGCCACGCAATCCAATAAGCATCGAGCCAATGAGACAAGCGAGCTGGACCGCCAACTTGAGGAACTTCCCCTCCCTGAGAGGCTGTTCCCAGGATGGGAGGATACAGTGCTCTGCAGATCAGGCCTGTTTCATCTAGTGTCACACACTTATGGTGAGATAGAGATGTGGCTCTTCGATGAGATATTGATTCGGCCTCCTTCTTAATAAAGAAACTGTCCACTGAAGACATCTGAAAAAGTTGCACAATCCAGTTCTTCATAACAAGTGCAGTGAAAGTCACTGACTTTTACTTCATTCTCCTTATCCTGGTCAAACTTATTGTGTACTACAGTGTTTTGAAAAATAATGACTTAAATACACACAATTTTACACAACTTATAGCCAGCATGCAACTATTGAGTTGGTAACGTAATACTACACCTTTTCAAAATGTTTTAAAGTTAACCAGAGCTGAAACAATTAGTCAGTTGATCAGCAGAAGAGTAATCACCATCTAGTTTGCTTGTCATTCAAGTTACTTTGAAGCAAAAATGCCCAATAATCACTTTCACCACCGTCGTAGTTGTGTGTATTTAAATTAAATTATATAGGTTTATCAAAGTAATTATTTAATTTAATGGTAAATATATTATACCTTTAGGTTTTTGTCGACTGGTTGGACAAAACACAACCTGTGTATATGTCATCTCGGGCTCTGGTAAATTTTCTAGTATTTTATGGACATAAATAATTTAATCGAGAAAATAATCAACAGATTAATTGATAATTAAAAGAACTGCC